AGAATAAATACGAAAGAACAGAATTTAACAGATTATCTCAATATCACTACGAAACCATAATAAAACTCCACCCAGAACTGGTGTCACAATCTCAAAGACCGTCTACGAATACTACAAATAATAGTCTGAACAAAGAAATACACATCTATCTCAAAAATAAATAAAACAGAAAGGAAACAGGATAGAAGGGGACGCCAAGGCCTGCGGACGCCTGCAGGACTACCTCGGGTCTCCACTGGACTGAAGGCAGCAACCTCGAACTACGGTCCGTATGGTCCAGCACCGGGATCTGCACAAAAAGTGCAGAGTGTAGTATTAGTACAACCGACCCCATGTACTGGTACGTGTCGAGCCTAACCTCGACGAAGTAGTGACGAGGCTACGGCGGTTCATAACACTATATATATAACCTGCAACAATTTATAATAAACAGAAAAGAGGTACAAAATGACAAATAACCGGAACTTGCATTAAAGGAACACAGGACTCAGCCATTCTACTAGTATCCAGCTATAACCAATCCTTAGGGAGTTTTCAATATCTCAGCGATGTGCATCCCGATCCCACCATATAACAATAACAATATCAATATTCTCCCATATTCCTCCTTGTTGCGGTGTGCAACCCGATCCCACATGTCCTCCCTTATTACTCCTCAACACATATCACCCTTTTCCTCCTGTTGCGGCGCGCAACCCGATCCCACATGTCCACCCTTATTACTCCTTGTTGTCGCGTGCAACCGGATCCCACCAGATAATCATATTTCTCCCTTATTCCTCCTATTGCGGCGTGCAACCCGATCCCAACATATGTATATACCAACACCAATCATAAAGAATAAATACAAGGTGTTTCACAAGTTAACTCCATTTTCACATTTCTTATACTTCAATCCATACAATGGAATATCGCTACGATTATGAAACTTCACCCATGAAAACAATTCAGCGAGACCAACCAAGGTGCACCATAAGGCACCAATAAATCAATATAAGCCAACGGGGTAAAAAATAAAGCTACGAAACCAATAATACTTCAACGGGAACATCAACAATTAACATGAAGCAATTAAATAATTCCAATAAAGAACACAACAGTTAACAGGAAGCAATTAGACATGGAAACATTTATGATCAAGTAGCAATTAAGGCAGGAAAGCAAGATATAGGACACGGGGAAAGGAAACGGGCCAAACAAGAAATTTGGTGACGCATAGGTACTCGTCACCACACCTATACGCCACACACATGATATTTCACATAGCAAGCAAGTCAGGGATCCCTAGTCCCTCAAGTCAAGGTTAGACCGAACACTTACCTCAAGCCAACGGGTAATTCAACACTCAACCACCGCTTTACCTCTCGATTCCACCACCAATTCACTTGTATCTAGCCATAATTAATTTAATAACATCAATAAATGCTAATAAACCAATTCTAATGCATGAATATAAATTTCCCAATGTTTTCCCCAAAAAGTCAAAAATCGACCCCGTGCCCGCTTGGTCAAAACTCGAATTTCGAACCAAAACCCGATTACACATTCACCCACGAACTCAATTATGCAATTGGTTTTGAAATCCGACCTCAATTTGAGGTCCAAATCCCCAAAATTCAAAAATTCTAATTTCTACCCAAGCACACCCAATTTCCCATGAAAAACCCTAGATTTTGAAGTGAAATCAAATAAAAAGATGAATTAGATTGAAGAAGATGAGTTAGAAATTACTTACCTATGATTTGGAGAAGTTTGAGTCCTTGAAATATTGCCTAGGGATGTTTAGGGTTCGAAATTTTGAAGAATGAAGTTGAAATCCCATCCAAATGATGTTTTCTTCAGGTGCAGATGTCATAATTGTGACTGGAGCTTCGCAATTTGCGAAGCTCGCAATTGCAAACCTGCTGCATGTCTGCTCTTCTCGCAATTGCGAGCATTTTGTCGCAATTGCGATGACTGGCCCCTCCCTGTTGACTTCACAATTGCGAAGGGATGTTCGCAAATGTGAACCAATGCTGGCCTGGGCTTTTTCGCAACTGCGATAATGCCCTCGTAATTGCCAACCCTGTTGGGCTCACAATTGTGAAGCCTGACCTCGCAATTGCGAGATCAGAGCCTGCAACACATACCAGATGCAACAGCAATTTTCTCTATGTTCCAAAACACTCTGTGGCCTATCCAAAACTCACCCGAGCCCTCGGGGCTCCAAACCAAGCATGCACACAAGTCTGAAAACATCATACGGGCTTGCTTGTGCGATCAAATCGCCAAAATAACATTTTAAACAACGAATTTGACACCAAAACTCATGAAAGTCATAAAATAGTCCAAATCTCTAACTTTTCAACCAAAGGTCCGATTTATATCAAATCTCTTCTGTTTTTCACCAAATTTCACAGATATGACGTAAATATTATATTGAACCTATACCGGGCTCCGGAACCAAAATACGGTCCCGTTACCATCAAGATTACACACCATTTTATTTCCAAAAGTCCTTATATTTTCCAGCAAATAATTTTCTTTAAAAAATTTTTTCTCGGGCTAGGGACCTCGGAATTCAATTCCGGGCATACGCCCAAGTCCCATATTTTACTACGGATCCTCCGGGACCGTCGGAACACGGGTCCAGGTCCGTTTACCTAAAATGTTGACTGAAGTCAACTAATATCATACTTTTAAGCCAAAATCATTATTTCTTAAAAAATTTCACACAAAAGTTTTCCGGTATCGCGCCGAGACTGTGCACGCAAATCGAGGAGGGATACAAGGAGGTTTTCAAGGCCTTAGAACACGGAAACGGACTCTAAAACAAGAGAGGACCTTTTGGGTCTTCACACCTTAACTTCATGAATATTGTGTAAATATTAAGGACAAAGTGTCCTGTATTTGCACCTTCCGTTATTAAACGTTAGGACATCATATCCTTAACTTCATAGGTGCAGTGTAAATATTAAGGACATGGTGTGTTCTTAACTTCATGTGTGCAGTGTAAATGTTAAGGACATAATGTCCTTAACTTGTATTTACACTTTCTGTTGTTAAACTTTAGGACTTCATGTCCTTAACTTCATATGTGCAGTGTTAATGTTAAGGACATGGTGTCCTTAACTTCATGTGTGCAGTGTAAATCTTAAGGACATAGTGTCCTTAACTTTATGAGTGTTGTGTAAATATTAAGGACATGGTATCCTTAACTTCCTGAATGCTGTGTAAAATATTGAGGACAAAGTGTTATGTATTTGCACCTTCCGTTGTTAAACTTTAGGACATCGTGTCCTTAACTTCATATGTGTAGTGTAAATGTTAAGGATGTGACGTCCTTAATTCATGTGTGCAGTGTAAATGTTACGGACACTGTGTCCTTAATATTTACACAGCACTCATGAAGAAAGGGTAAAAATATCTTTTCTTATTAATTTTAATAAAGTAGTGGCTACTTTTGCTCAGCATTAAAAATACTAGGTAAAAATTAAATACCATGTTAAAAAGTGGCTATCCCACACCATTTCTACGCTGAAAGTTAAGATACATTAGTCAATGCAGACTTTTAGTCAAAAATAGCACGGGCTAACCAGTTTTCGGACTGGTAATAGAAAATAGCCTGTGTTTGGAAAGTCATTGAAAAATAGCCATTATTTTGCTGCAGCACAGAAAGTTCCAGGATAATATACTGGAGATTGGAGCACCTGTGTATGAAATTCCAGCATATTATGTTGGAACTCCAGCACACAGAAAGTTCCAGCATAATATACTGGAGATTGGAGCACCTGTGTATGTACTTCCAGCATATTATGTTAGAACTCCAGCACATTATGAAATTCCAGCATGTTATGCTGGAAGTTCATATGTAAATAATTCGAATTCCAGCATATTATGCTGGAATATTTTTCAGATTTTGAACAGTGTTTTTGTTCAGATTTATCTTTTACATGAAAATTGGCTAAATTTCGATACTTTTGAAACTGTGGCTATTTTTCAATTATCACTTGTAAATCTAGCTATTTTTGAATTTCTCCCGGACTTTATCATACAGATATGTAACCTAATATTTGGATTTTAGTCCGTGGATTACAAATTGAATGCTTTCTTAACTTGCTAATTAAGTTGGACTCTTTTTAGTGACTAAGGTTTTTATGCTACTAAAATTTAATTTATATCGTCCTTTACCCTTAACTCTATGTCCGTTAGGATAAAAAGTTACACTACAAAGATCATTAAATGTATACCAAAACATTTGTGATTTTTTCCTTCTTTGTGAATTCATTTAATAGGAAAACAAATATGAGCAAACTAGCAATATCTCCCCTCAAGTTGATGATGTACCATTTTCATATCTAATGGTACCAAAGTTGGATGCTTTGCAACAAATGCTATCTGCATCCAAATGGGAGGGGGTGAAAGATGTTCTAATATCTACATGAAACTCGGTCTAACTTTTGTTGGAAAAGCACTTTTACCTAATTGAAATCAAACCATGAGATTAAAGAATAGTTATTGGTAGTTTAGATTAAACCCAAAAAAAAATAAATGAATAAAATCCTAGCATATATTAAAATTGTTTGGACAAGCTATATCATAGAAAAAAGAGATTTGTGTAGTAATATACAATTTAAACTTGTTTTCGTACTCCTGTTTTTCTTTACAAATACGTAGTTTACATTTAAATCATCCCATCAATTGAAAATTTTCATTTTAAAAATATCATTTTCCTTTTGTTCTACATTTTGTTTCCTAACAATTTCAAAGATTTGAACAACCTTAATCTAGATGGTTGAATAAGTCCATTTATCGGATACAACTTGAAAGAAACAAAAAAAAAACAAAAAAAGTCAACCATAACATTACTCTTTCATGAGCCTAAAATTAAACAAAAACAAAGATTTGTTGCATTACTCTTTTATGAGCCTAAAATTAAACAAACAAAAAAAAGTGAACCATGACATTAGGTCCTACTAGCACTATAAATAGTAATTCTTGCAATATTTTTTCTCAAAGTAATTAACATCAAAGAAAATGACGATCTATTGGCTTTCCTGTCTTTCACTTCTTGTTTTATCGTCATCTTTATGCACAGCTTGTGCTGATACTCATGAAAAATTCCTTCAATGCTTATCTGTTGGTAATAACCAAAAGATCTCCTTTTACACTCGAAACAATAAATCTTACTCATCCATTTTGCAGTTCTCTATACAGAACCTAAGGTTCAATTTTACGAAAACCCCTAAACCTCGTTTAATTGTGACACCAGTAAGTAAACATGAAATCCAACAAGTCATTCTATGTGCTAAGAAAACTAGCATGCACGTTAGGGTTCGTAGTGGAGGACATGACCCTGAAGGCCTTTCTTATGTATCTAACGTTCCATTCGTCTTAATTGATCTCATCAAATTCCGAAAAATCACTATCAATGTTAAGGAAAAAAGTGCATGGGTTGACACGGGATCCAGTATTGGCGAACTATATTATAAAATCGCGAAAAAAAGTAAAACCTTAGGGTTTTCTGCAGCAGTCTATCCGATAGTTGGTGCAGGTGGTGCATTCAGTGGAGGTGGCACTGGGGTTATGATTAGAAAATATGGTCTCGCAGCAGATAATATTATAGATGCACGTTTAATGGACGTGAATGGAAAAATTCTTGATAGGAAGTCAATGGGGGAAGATCTCTTTTGGGCTATAAGAGGAGGTGGAGGCAATACCTTTGGAATTGTTCTTGCATGGAAAATCAAATTGGCAGATGTTCCTGAAAAGGTAATAGTCTTCACCATTGACAAAACCTTGAAACAAAATGCAACAAAACTTATTCATAAATGGCAATATGTCTCACCAAAGTTCCATCAAGATTTGTTCATTAGAGTTGTGATCCGCAAAAACAAACAAAATGCCCTTGTAGCTTCATTCTACTCAATATTCCTAGGTGGAAATGGGATTGACCAATTACTTGGTATAATGCATGAAAGCTTCCCTGAATTAGGGTTAAAAAGAGAAGATTGCATGGAGATGAGCTGGATTGAGTCTACTTTATATTTTGCAGGATACTCAAGAGGAGAATCCCTTGATGTTTTACTAAAAAGGGGTAAATCTTTTGGACATTACTTTAAGGTAAAATCAGACTTCGTACAAAAGCCAATCTCAAAAAGAGAACTAGAAGGGATATGGGACTTATTCAAAGAAGATGAAGATGCATTAAGACTAATGTTCCTAACTCCATATGGTGGAAAAATGGATGAAATTTCAGAGAATGAAATTCCATACCCACATAGAGCTGGAAATTTATATGAAATCCAATATGGTGTGAGTTGGTTTGACAAAGTAGAAGAAGAAGCAGAAAGGCACATAAATTGGATAAGAAAGCTTTATGAATATATGACTCCTTTAGTTTCGAAATCTCCAAGAGCTGCTTATGTGAATTATAGGGATCTTGATATTGGGGCCAACAACATGAACGAAAAGACAAGCTATGAACAAGCTAAAGCTTGGGGTTATAAGTATTTTAAAAATAATTTTGATAGATTGGTTCAAGTGAAGACTAAGGTGGATCCTTCAAACTTCTTTAGAAATGAACAAAGCATTCCACCCTTTGAAGAGAAGTGAATGAAGTTTTTGGTGGAAGGAAATATCAAATAAAAGACAATAGTCTTATTAAATAATTTGGTATTATTATACTGTTTTTACTTGGCATATTGTTTGTGGTATAAGTAAAAACAGTATAATATTTATGTTGCAATTTTCGGTGTTATGCATACCGGATTCAACATGCAATAATTTATAGGAGAATCATGTTTACAGAAATAAAATGTTTAAATTCCAAATTTACCTTGATTTCATCTTTTTATTTTTATTTTCATTGTGAAAACAAGGGTAAACTTACAAAATATTTATATTATACATCTATATCTCAATCTTTATGCAATAAACCTTCCACCTGCTAAAAAGATATTCTCCAAATCATAACATCTCCGAAAAATATATTCACCAAATATACTGACTATTATTCCTTATATTAGAATCTATGTTCTATAATCATTGCATAACTTTAGTTATGAGTTAAATGGTTAATGTATCCTTTTCCTGGTTATATGCATAATAAATGGCCACAAGATTATAGTCTTATAAATTAACTAGATGTCTCGTAGCTCGTAACATAGGCCCAACTATCTTTCTAAGCATTGTGTTGTCAATTTTTCCGTCTCAATTGCTTTGTCGGTAAAGATGATAATGCTCTAAAATAAAAATGAATGGTAACTTTTATAGTTGCGGTAGTGAAGGTTTAAACTTTCATTTCACAATAAGTTCTCTTTGTTAACTCATAAAGTGCGTAAAAGCAAACTTAAAAGTTAAAAACATACAATCCAATCATTGCTAAAGTAGAAAAAACTTTTCCTAGGTATGGAAGTTGTGTAACCAATTATAAATATGGCCGAGTACCCAATCAATGTAGGCGTTGTGATGTCGGCCAACATCTCAGTGTTCGCACAGCAGGATGAGTCACCCTACTCGTATCCCAACACTAGTACAGAATATCTTCTTGGTGCAAAGGTAGAGCCAAGGGATTATGACACAAAGGTGAAGCCGAAGAAGCCTTTTACTTGGTACTCACTGATGGATGCGAGCAACCCGAAGAAGAAAGTCCAGCCTCCTAGCACCACAGACCAGTCTGATGAGCCAGCAGTGGTAGCTCCTGAGACAGTTGATGTTCCATCCACTTCGGCTAAGCCTTCCTCCAGTGCCGCAGCTATGCCTCCGCCATCATCCACAGCCCCTACTACAGCTCATGCCACAGCCCCCACCACAGCTCTGAGGCTAATGCCCGTGCCCACTCACCCACTATCTGCACTACGAGTCTCCCAGACATTGGCAAGTCTCAACAATTGGATGCAGACAGCTACTGTAAAGCTGTCTGACTTGTCCAGTCTGTTGCAGCGTAGTCTACCTCACAGGCATCACAGGTTCCTTTTGACATTGAGAAGACGTTGAAGAAGATTCTGGAGAATCAGAAGACTATCATGAACACCTTGGTACAACCAAGTCGGTGATCAAAGTGGAAAGGAAGTGAAGAAGATGAGAAAGTCTCAGGTGAGCAAGAAATCAGTAGACAAGCTCTGGAGAGAGATGACCAGGATTGCTACAGCCGGAGATCTCCCCTTTGTATGTTGCTTGACCCACACCATTTCGCCCCAGATCCTTCAGCACCATCTGCACCGGTGGCACCAGCTGGCCAGTCTGACGAGCCAGACCTTGCTACTGACACTGCTGAGGCGACAGTGCATGAGATGTTCGCCAACCCAGACCCACCTAGAGTTGAGGATGATGAGATTCAGTTGGCTGATCCTTAGGGAGATGACATTGCTGGGGACATAGAGATGTCCAAGGAGCCATAGGGAGTTTTCTTCACCCTTTACCTCTTTTACTCTTATGTTGCTATGAATTGGGACAATGCTTCTTTTTATTTGGGGGGAGGGGGGGTGGAGTTTATTTGACACATGTGGTACTTTGATACATTTGACTTGTAATAATTTGATGAGATTCTCTCTTTTCTTATTTGTATGTATATATCTTCTCTCTCTCGTGTTATATATTCATTCTATCTTCAGTAGTTTGCTTATTAGCTTTTTCATTTTTGTTTCCATATTAGTTCTTGTTTTATTAAGTAGCTTCTTTTTATGTTTTAGTAGATAATAAGTCTTTGGTTATATTAACGCCACGGTTCTTTTCAATAATAGCTGTTGTGTGAACCGGATAACTCGTCCCAACGATAGATGGCATGACAACCTTCTTAAGGGAATGAGTTTGTTTTGTGTTAGGTAATAATATTAGTAGTAATGAATAAAAACACCTAATTAAATCATGCTCGAAAAGTCAATCATGCCTCAATTGGAACCAACACACTAAACTACGTGCTTATGGTTAGATTTCTATCTTTTTAATTTTATTTTCATTGTGAAAACAAGGGTAAGCTTAAAAAATATTTATATTATACATTTATATCTCAATCTTAATGCAACCAACCTTCCATCTGCTAAAAAAGATATTCTCCAAATCATAACATCTGCCAAAAATATTCACCAATAATATACTGACTTTTATATTAGAATCTGCGTGCTATAATCACTACATAATTTTATTTACGAGTTAAATGATTAATGTATCATTTTCCTAGTTATTATATGTATAATAAATGGCCACAAGATTATAGTCTTATATGTTAGCTTCTTTTTTTTTGGGTCAACGTCTTATATATTAGCTAGATGTGTCATAGCTCGTAACAGGGGCCCAACTTTCTTTCTAGGGCAAAGATCAATTTTAGCCCGTGATAGAAATTCTTTATATCCGATAGCCGTAAATTAAAAATGTATAAAATTTGTATACTTTTTGTATATGAAATATACATTTTTAGGTTATTATTTTGAGCAGAAAAAATAAGTCATTTTTTATTTTTTGCCATATATTCCCTGCTTTCTAAGCATTGTGTTGTCAATTTTCTTTTGAGCAACAAAAATAAGTCATTTTTCTATTGTCGGGGAGAAGCTAAAAATTATACTTCATCTGCTTTCTTGAGGAGGCAGAAAATTACTTCTTTCAAAACAAAAATATTCCGTCTTTAATATTTTCCAACACAAAATACCTGTGTTTTATTTAATTCCATAACCCTAGAAACGAATTAAGTTCCAAGTCTATTTTTTAATATATCTTTCAATCGTAAGTTTTACTCTCTTGTGAATCTTACTATGTACAACCACACAACAGATATGGTTCGTATGCTGTGTTTACATCAAATAAAATAAAATAGTTTAACCTTAAGTAACAGTTAAATATTATCATATAGTCAGAGGCGGATCCAGAATTTGATGGTTGCTGGTGTAACTGTATTTAATATAAACATATCAGTAGTCAAGGAGGTTGAATTTGGGTAAAATGCATGAAGGAATGTAAATATGAGAATAGATTTTGTGAAATTTTCTTTATATCATTATCTGTAGTAACATGTGTATTTATACAAGTATTTGTGTAAAGAAAAAAAAAGAAAAATAAGAAAATTAGAAAACTATCTATACAGCTGTCCACTCCTTATTTGCTATGTAATAACCAATTAACAGAATAATATTCCTCTCTATCTATTTACACGGTTCACATGTGTGGAGATTTAAAGTGGAATCCAAAGTTGTGCAGCTGTACATTTCTTCATCTGAACAGTCCTTATTTAATCCATCATAAATTTGATCAAGGGGCAGGATTAAGCCATGTGTCAATGTTGAGGATGAATTAGACTTTGTCCTACAGATGTCCGAAACATAGTCTAATATCCTTAAACCTAAAGTGTTNATCGATTGCCTTTCTTTCAGTTATTCTTTCCCCTTCCTAGTCTATTAATAACTAAAACGGATTTTTCCAATGTATAAATAAAATTCCAATGGCTTTGGCTACTCTAACCTTCCCGACCACGATTTTTCTTTTTTTTTTAGGTATTTCACTGCGAAATAATTAATATGAACTAGATAAAAACGAAAAATAATTAAAAGTATACTCAAATAAAAAAAAAATTGAGATCTAGAATAAGAACATAACCAAATACACTTCTATAATCTAAAAAAAAACTAATAAAAATGGGATTGTACATAGAGAGAAAATATAAAAATGAAGATAGAAGAAATTAAGAAAAAGAAAAGAAAAGAAAATAAGTTGGAAAGTGGAAAGAAGGAACAAAAAAAAAGTAAAATTTTCTCTACTATATATGAGTGAAAGAAGGATCGATCGGTATTAGGCTGGGCAAGAGCTATTGTGACCATGGCACATACAGATATCTTGTGACATGGGGTGCTGCCACTATTTAGCTATATATATACCTTTTTCACATGAAATACTAGTGAAATACTAGTGCATATACCCGAGCGACCGGGTGGCGTACCACCCCTTCTCCTCCATATAGATCCATCCCTGCAAATAACCATGTTAAATGAATAATGCCTATATGAAGAAAAAAAAACTACACCAGTGTCTCGCAGTTATTAGTTTGACGGAAACACTTGGTGCAAATAAGGTTTTACTGTACAAATATTATTACCAAGTAGCGAAAAAGATGTGCAAGTCAAGAGATTAAATTAAGAAAGCATTCCGTAGGAAAAAGCTAAACATAATATTAGAAGCATAAGTCGAAGATTATTTAAATACTAGATGTGGACGAGCTACGGCTTTGTGTTAAAACTTAAAATTATCTTAGAGATTAGAAGAAGTAAAGCTGTTAGCGTAATGCAATCCAACATCATCCTCCATTAAGGCTTAAACATGGAGTTTAAATTCTATAAATGCATTACAACATAAAATCATAATTTAGCATTTATTTAATTAATAAAATGTGTAGAAATCAAACACGACAATTTTCTTTATAGTTTGTTCTTTTGTTAATTTTTCTTTTAAATTTGTTACATGCAATAGCTTGACAAAACTGTAACTTAATATACTTCTGGGTGACTGGGTCTAATTCTCTTTTTCTTTTTTGTTTCCTTAAATTACTTTAGATGAATTATATTATTGATAAGTCACAATAATTAATAATTCAAATATTTAAAAGACATGAAAAAAAACTGCAATACAAAAGATTTATTTGACGATCACATAAATTGAAACAGAAGAAGTAGCATATAGCAATAATAATCCGCACATATTTATTTAGATTCATTGATATGCTTGAAAACACATCTGCAACAGCTTTGTGTTTTCGCAAATTAAAGCTGATTTTTTTTTTTAGTTAATGACGTTTGTCGAAGAAAAATTCGAAAAGTTACTTCAAATTTCAAAAAGCTAAAAAGAAGTTCGATAATTTTTTGACCTGTTTCTGAAAAAATCTAGTAGATATTTGGAAACTAATTTAAGAAACTAAAATTTAAAGTTATAGTTGAAAAAATTTATTCGAAAGTTGAACGTCAAATCTTATGTGCTGGCAGTGGGGTTTTTTTTTTATTATCTCAAAAGTCAAAACTCCCAAGTCCCAAGTCTGGTAATCTATTGTCTCAATTTATGTGATGGTGTTCAGATTAGATTCCGTGAGTTAAACAAGTTTCTTTTAATTGTAAATTTTATATGCCTTTAAATATTTTGAATTATAAATTAATGTGGCTTATATAAATTTTACGTAATTTTCAAATTATGTAAATTTTATTTCAAGAGATCTAATGATTCTATATCCGAATTTACGATCAAAATTAAAAAATTTAACTTCCGAAATCAGAAATATGACACATAAATTTGGACAGAAAGTGTATCTTTCAGGGAAATAATCCAGAGTTCTAATATGCTTTTATCAATGATTCAAATGATTATACAAGTAGGTTTAAGGAGAAACATGTGTGCAATGTGGATAAGATTTTGTTATAAAATAAGTCCATATGAGGAAATATAATTTCCCAATCTAACAAAACCACTTTATAATATAGGACTATCTGGACCAAAAAAGGAAAAAAGAGAAAGTCAATAGCTAGGTGTTAGCCTATAGTTTCAGTCTTGTATCTTTTCTCTTTTAATATATAAACCAATAATTGAATTCCTGACCAAACTTTCGTACTATTTTACCACTTTGAATTAAATACGAAGCTGAAATTAATGTGATGTGGGGCATTAAGAGATTGATTTGAGATTAGAGTCACATTACAGGTAAAACGAAAATGTTATTATTACTACTTAAGTTGAGTAAATTATTTTGCAAAAGGAGTTAATTATAATATGATTCATGCAGGAATATGCATAATTATTAATAAAGCTAAGGCAATTTTTCCCTTAACTCGCTATGTGATGTTTGTCATAAATATAATCAATGACATGTAACGTGCAATTTGTTTAAGAACAAATAGCTTTTCTTTTCTTTGTTGTTGCTTCTTAGTATCACTTTGCTCCTTCTCAATCTTCTTAATCTTGGTGCTATAATATGTTTTTTAGAAAATATACATAGTTAGTTACTAACAGAGGCGGAGGTAGGATTTGAACCTTATAGGTTCGAGATTATAATCCTTTTAAGTTACTGAGTTCTAAATCAATAATTTGTACATATTCGTTGAATTTCTTAATACAAATACAGGGTCTGAACAAAAGCTACTAGGTTCGGCCGAGCCTGCGAACAGCAGTGTGGCTCCGCCCCTGGTTACTAAGTATTTGTTTCATGACCAAGTTAACAATCAAAATATTACAATAAGTTCGATCCTTTTTCCTGGATTGTTTTGTGAGCAAGCTATGCTCAAAATCATAATTCGATTTTAAAGTTCTTGTCAATCCCAAAATTAAACTAATGGAAAATTTAGTAGTCATCTTAATTCTTAATTATAGAGTGGTTGATAAGTTACGTATCAAGTTGTACATGTATGGGGTCGAATTTGACCAACCACGTTCTACCGTCAACATGACCAACCACCGAATGTTTGCGAGCCGACACGAGAGAACGACCCCAGGGTGAGAGGAGGGACGACCTCGACCCGTTATCGGCTCCCCTATAAAGCACACTGACGTCGTCACTCTAAGGACTCAGCTCGAATCCCCCCATTATATAAAGGGGATCCGAACCTTGTAATAGGCAGACAACTTGTAATAGAAAAACTGATTCTCTCCCTAATTTTTATCTCCATATCACTCTCTCCTTCTCTCTCTCTATCTCTTTTCTTTACTGCTATTATTGTTCCGATTATTGAAACGATCCTGGGAATTATTATCTTCGACTACGATTTACCCCTTCATCTCTTTAATTGATTTGCTTAAAAAAAGGTTTAACTTCTTTTGAGTCAAACAATTTGGCGCCGTCTGTGGGGATTTCGGTAGTTGAAATCGTAGTTCTCACCTGGGATATCAAAATCAACGATCTCTATCCTTCGCACTCCATAGAAACCAGCGATGGCAGAGAAAGAAGCAAGGTTGAAGGCAATAGCAAATGTCTCAAACAACCTCTTAGACTCCCTCAACGAAGCTGGTAGAGAAGATATCGAGAATGTAACGCCAAGAGGTATACCGGAGGGAGAGATCTCACCCTCTATACTCGAGGATCCGATGATCTTGCGCGAAAGAGGAACTTCAACGTTCACGGTGAAAGAAACACCACCAGTAGTCCAAAATCTATTAGAGGAGTGGTTGACAAGCGCTCTAAACACCGTGCTTGAAAAACCCCCTCTAGGAAATACCTGAGATTCGCCGACGGTAGAAGTCGCTGCTGTTACCGACGAGCCGGGCACTGTACAAACAATCAACACTCGCACTACCACCGATGCAAGTGATGGTACACTCGCGATCATCCTAAAGAAAATGGAAGAAATGGAAAACGAGAACAAAATGCTTCGTGACCAAATGAAAGAACACCAGGAAAGGGTTGACAAAATACCCAGCGCCCCTAAGCTGCTGCCAAAACGCGATGTGGGAAGGTTTGTCGAGCAGCCGCACAGTGAGGAAGCTGCTCCCCACCCCATCCCGAAAACCTTTAAAATGCCACCAACTTGAAAATATACGACGGGACCACGGATCCAGAAGATCACCTGATTCATTACGTCACTGCGGTAAAAGGCAACGACTTGTCAAAAGAACAAGTGCCATCTGTGCTGTTGAAAAAGTTTTGTGAGACTTTGACAGGAGGAGCGTTAACCTGGTATTCTCAGCTACCAGCACGGTTGATATCGACGTTCGAGGAAATGGCGGATAAATTTGCTACCGCTCATACAGGAGCAAAGAAGGCTGAAGCCAGGGTCAATGACATCTTCGCTATCAGACAAACGGCGGGCGAAGGGCTCCGAGACTTTCTAGCCCGGTTCAACAGGGTAAGAATGGGACTGCCAAATATGTCGGAAGGAATGGCTGTCGCAGCCTTCCAAAACGGATTAAGCAGAAGCGGATCGAAGGCAACCAAGAAGTTACTCAACAGACTCATGAAGTACACTCCCACCACATGGGAGGAAATCCATAATGCCTACTGCACCGAAGTAAGAGCAGATGAAGACGATCTCAACGGTCCAACCCAGCGACTAGCGTCAGTACAGTCCGAGGTAAGGAGGGATCAACGTAGCGACGGACAAAGGGATCAACTCCCGCGCTTCAACAGAGAAAGGCATCAGCCCTATGTCAGAAATCCAAATCCGCCTCCCCCGAGGCATGCAGATGCCGTGTCGCGACATATCGCGCCCCTTCGAAACGAAAAAGGTATGCCTCCATTATTATCTGCTCACAACTTTTGTGTTTCACCTTCAGAAATAGTGTACGCACTAGAGAAACTGGGCACGAAGGTGCAGTGGCCACCAAAGATGAAATCGGACCCAAGCGCAAGAAGGTCAAATGTCCTCTGCGAATTCCATCAGGAAAGAGGACACAAGACCGAAGACTGCATAGGTTTATGACAGGAGGTGGTCAGAATGCTGAACCAGGGATACCTGAAAGAACTGCTCAGCGATAAGGGAAAGGCCAACTTCGCCAGAGGGCAAGACCCATCTCAAGGACCACCAAGGCCACCGTCGCCGGCACGTACCATACAAATGATTATCGGTGGTGGCGACGACTCGGTGATCAACCACGTAAAGTTCGCCACCATGCATAAGCTGAAACGTACAATCACTCACGAACGATATGATGGCTTCGAAGATAGTATCATCATCGAAAAGTCAAATACCGACGGTTTGTCTTTCCCTCATTACGATGCTTTAGTCATAACATTACGCATCGCTGATACAGATGTGAAGAGAATTATGGTAGACGATGGAAGCAGTGCATGTATTATCCACCCGAGAGTTCTCATGCGAATGAAGCTCGAGGATAAGATAATACCACGTTGCATAACACTAACGGGTTTTAATAATGCAGTAGAGCGGACATCTGGAGAAATAGCATTACCAGTCCTGGCTGGGGGAGTCACGCTGGAAACTACATTCCACGTCATGGACCAGGAAACCGCCTATAATGCCATCATAGGACGCCCATGGATACACGCCATGCGAGCCGTCCCATCAAGCTTCTATCAGGTAATCAAGTTTCCCACCCCGTGGGGAATTTTTAGTATTCGAGGCGAGTTGCGTACCGCCCAAGAATGCTACCAGATTGCCCAAGATTGCACGCATACCAAGTAGTTAAAAGGGGCAAGCGCGGAGGCATAGCAATCAGCCATGTCGGGAGCTAAAACCGACTCGCCAGCAGAAGTCATCATAGAGCCCGACGTTGTAGAAGCTTGCAAAGAAACTATTGAAGATCTCGATGCGGTACACCTGGACGATACCGACGATACAAAAAAGGCTTATATCAGACACAACCTCTCCGAGCCAGGTAAGTATCGTGAACTTTTGACTAACAATGCCGATCTATTTGCCTTTCACACTCAGATATGCCGGGATTCCAAAAGACATCACCACTCATAGGCTGAATGTCGATCCGCTCTATCCGCCCGTGCGGCAGATGAGGAGGAAATTCAGTGCCGCAATTAACGAGGCAGCCAGTGAAGAAGTGGACAAGTTACTGGCCAACGGCTCCATCAGAGAATCGAAATACCCCCAATGGGTCGCTAATGTTGTTATGGTCAAAAAGAAAAACGGCAAGTGGAGAATGTGCGTGGACTTCACCGATCTGAACAAGGCATGTCCAAAAGATTCCTTTCCCTTGCCCCATATCGACCAACTGATCGACGCAAACGCGGGACACGAACTGTTGAGTTTCTTGGACGCCTACTCCGGTTACAACCAAATCCTAATGGCTGAGGAGGATCAAGAGAAAACAACTTTCAACACCCACCAAGGGACTTACTGCTATAAGGTGATGCCATTCGGACTCAAGAATGCGGGGACCACATACCAGAGGTTAGTTACCAAGATGTTCAAGGAACAACTCGGCAAGACAATGGAGGTCTATATCGACGACATGCTGGTGAAATCGGCAAAGAAAGATGACCATATCGGTCATTTGAAAGAAGCCTTCGAGATATTGAAACAGTATGGGATGAAACTGAATCCGGAAAAATGCGCCTTCGGCGTGGCCTCAGGAAAATTTCTAGGTTTCCTTGTGTCACAACGAGGCATCGAGGTCAACCCGGATCAAATCAAGTCCATAGACACGATACCCGAGGTACTGAACAGCAAGAAACAGGTACAGAAGCTGACGGGACGAATAGCCTCCATATCAAGGTTCATTTCGCGATCTTCGGACAGGTGCCACAAGTTCTTCAATGTACTAAAAAAGGATCATGGACTACAATGGAACGAAGAGTGCATCGACGCCCTAAGGAAACTGAAAGCATCTGTCCTCACCACCACTACTCGTCAAGGCGGACCCAGGCGAGAGTCTGCTCGTATACCTAGTAGTATCCGAAGTTGCTGTCAGCGCAGTCCTGGTCCGCGAAAATAAAGTTACACAATCCCCCATTTACTATATCAGCAAGACCCTAATCGATGCCGAAACAAGGTACCCACACCTTGAAAAAACTGGTTATGGCACTAGTCGTAGCTTCACGAAAGCTTAGACTTTACTTTCAATGTCACCCCAGATGGGCCATAGAGCTCAGCGAGCACGACATAACGTATCACCCGCGAACTGCCATTAAGTCGCAGGTGCTCGCCGACTTTGTCACCGATTTCAATACAGAAATTCTGCCGGAAGCGGAACAAGAGGCCCTTCGTGCCTTCACTCTCACCGACATTTGGACCCTCTATACTGACGGATCCTCGAATGCCTCGGGATCGGGACTGGGACTCGTCCTCGAAGTCCCTACAGGCGAAGTAATTCGCCAGTCCATATGATGTCCCGAGATGACTAACAACGAGGCCGAGTACGAGGTTGTGGTTGCAGGTATGAAGTTAGCACTCAAGTACGGAGCCCAGCGACTCATCCTCCACTGCGACTCCCAACTCGTCGTAAATTAAGTCACCGGGACTTTCCAAATTAAAGAACAAAGACTACAAAAGTATCAATCAGAGATCCACAAGCTGATGCCAGAATTCGACGAATGCCGCCTCGAGCAGATACCTAGGGCACAAAACATTGAAGCAGATGGCCTAGCCAAGCTAGCCGCAGCCACCAAGAACATCAACAAAGGAAACGTGGTCACCCTCCTCCATTCAGCCATAGATCACGTCGAGGTATTTTCCTTGAAATTAACCTGGGACTGGCGCAACCGCTTTGTATCCTATCTGCAGAAGGAACACTCCCGCAAGACAAAAAAGAAGCCAAGAAACTCCGAGTGCAAGCTGCCCAATACAGCCTGGTAAATCATGACCTCTACAAAAGAACTTTCGGCGCCCCCCTCGCTAAATTCCTCGGACCCCACCAAACAAGACAAGTATTGGAGGAGGTGCACGAGGGCCATTGCGGCGCCCATACTGGGAATCGCGCCCTCGTCCGATGCCTCATCCGTGCCGGCTATTACTGGCCTACTATGAAAAAAGAAGCAGCAGACTACGTCCAGAGATGCGAGCAGTGCCAAAAATACGCCTCCGTGATACATCAAGCGGGAGAACTCCTCCATTCAGTCACTTCGCCATGGCCCCTCATAAAATGGGGGATGGACATAATCGGCCCCCTGCCGGCTGGGCGAGGAAAGGTACGTTTCCTTTTAGTTTTAACTGACTATTTCTCCAAATGGGTGGAAGCAGGTGCGTACGTGTCGATGCCCCCTTTTTCTCGCAAAATCGGGTTTATGACATTTGGGCGGACAACTCTTTTCCTTTTGGGAATTGGGTTTGCAATTTAGAAGAGTCGTCACCTAATGATTAAGTGCATTAGGACACTAAAAATGAATTTGATTTAGAAAACCAGAAGTTGGGTAAGGGCTTGAAATTATCTCGAGGGGAAGGTGTNAGAGGGAAAGGCACGGAACCGTCGACTACACCATTGATCGACTGGTTTTACCGTAAATATGCCTTTGCCGGATTTAGGGGGTGATAATATCGGAAGGGCGCAACCACTCATTATAAGCGTTGCTATGGTCTTTTGTTTGGCACGAGTGGAATATGATGTTGAATATGCAGTTACAATAATTAAACAAATTGTCATGTATTTGCACGTTCATAGAGTAATAATTACAACAGTTTATCATAATTTACAACAGTATTAAAGGAAAGCGATAAAGGAAAGCATTAAGAAAAGAAACAAAGAGCCAAGTTAGTTTCGTAGTAGAAGAAAGAATAAATACTTAAAGGCATTTAAACAAGTAAAGACATAAAGTCACAAATAGCACGAAATGGTAAAAGCCTTAAAGAACTCCCCAGCAGAGTCGACATGCTGTCGATGCCCCCTTTTTCTCGCGAAATCGGGTTTATGACATTTGGGCGGACAACTCTTTTCCTTTTGGGAATTGGGTTTGCAATTTAGAAGAGTCGCCACCTAATGCTTAAGTGCATTAGGACACTAAAAATGAATTTGATTTAGAAAACCAAAGGTTGGGTAAGGGCTTGAAATCTCGAGGGGGAGGTGTTAGGCACCCCTCAAGATCCACTAGTGTGGTTCCCGGCCATGCTACAATTGTGACTTTAAATACAAACAACAAGTAATCAAGCAAGCATTGTAAATACTAGGTAACTTTCACATAACGATTGCAAATAAAAGAAGTACAAGGGGTTTAAAGAGTGCTGAAATTTGGAAGAAGGTAGTTTTATAATTAAAGAAAGATACACAAGTAAAGGAAAAGGGGTCAAATAACTGATGCAAGTAATTCGAAAAAAAAGTGAAAGAGGCGGAAGTTTGGGGAGAAACAGTACTGAAAATCAGACAATTAAAAGAGAGATTTTTGCATAATAAGTACAAGTGATTGAAGTAAAAGAAGAAGTTAAAGAAACTGAAAACTAAACAGCTTTAAAATTCTGGAAAAAGGAAGTAAACAAGTAGAGAGGGAGGGGGAGTCTTAGGTTTATAAATAACACGGATCCCCCACACAACACCCGGTAACCATTTATACACGTGGTGTTATCGCGTGGTCATCATATCCATGTCTACCCTTATCCACCCCGTTAAGGTATTAAATCGCGGAATGGTCTCGTTACTTATTGCATGCTATTACCCGTCCCAATCTTATCAGCCCCGAAGGTATTAGGGACTACTAGTCCTAAAGGGGAGGGAAAATTGGCTTTTAGAGTTTAAAAAGGACAAAAGTCTAAGGCGACATTCAAAACATACATGACAAGTATGGGGGAGCACATGACAAACAAGGCACAAACAAACCTCCTTAAAACATAAAGAACATATAGTTTTAGCATGTCTTTCAGATACTGATTAGGTCTATAATTAAACTTAAATGCTAAGGCGTGGCTGATTTATCATATATTTTCTGATAAGAAGTCCAAATTAGGCCTGCCCGCTGGTTGTAATTATTAAAGACTGGTGTAGTTAATTAATTACCTAATGGCTTGCCTAGGTGAGACCTATGGGCATGATATCTAGCAATGCGAAGTATACCGATTTTAAAGAAAGCAAACATACACTCTGCAGATGTTGAGTATCGAAATTGTTGATTTTAGGCTTGATTCAGATTCAGTTGATTACCCTTATAGACATGCTTTCTAGGCGTGATTGATTTTAAAACGTTTATAGAAACGCGAGAGTCCTATAGGCATGGTATCTATAATGCGATTTTGTTATTTTAAACCTATAAACCGTTTGCCTAACGATAGATGCAAAATGCAGAATTTAAAAGATCCTATAGGCAGGTTATCTATACGATGCAAGAATGCAGAAGCCTATAGTCATGGTATCTATATGAGTGCAGAACCTCAAAGGCATGGTATTTATATATGCATAAGTGCAAAACTATAAGCAGGATTTCTATATGAAATGCATAAGTGCAGAACTATAGACATGATTTCTATATGACGTGCATAAGTGCAGAACTATAAGCATTTCTATGTGAAATGCATAAGTGCAGAACTTTAGACAGGATTTCTATATGACATGCATAAGTGAAGACCTATAAGAAGGATTTCTATATGATATGCATAGATGAAAAGCAGGATGAGATTGCAGGAATAAACACCTAAGAACATGATGTCTACCCACATGCATACATGAGTGACCCTCCCCTTTTCACTATATACCCCCATAAGTTATTACAAATTATTACAACCCAAAATGAATAAAGGAAAGTAAAATTATA